TTACTCGGGCGTGATTGGCTGCGACGACACAATCCGCGAATTGACTGGACGACGGGTGACTGCACCGTGCGAGTAAACGGTAACAGCATCGCCTTACCTCGCTGGGGCTCGCCTGAGTCTTCGTCGGTGCGTGTCAATGCGATCACGATGAAACGCGCTGTAGCGGCCGGAGCTGACGTGTACGCGGTTGACATTCGGGAAGCCGAGGCAGCAGACAAGGGAGGGGATTTACAGAAACTGCTGACCGACGTACCGAGTGACCTGGCGGCACTGTTAAAACAGTACAGTGACATTTTCCCGGACGACCTGCCGACGGGACTGCCACCTCAGCGACCGCACGATCACAGGATAGATCTGGAACCGGGGGCACAGCCAACAGTACAGCGACAGTTCCGACTGACCCAACCCGAACTAGACGAACTGAGGAAGCAGCTCGATTACCTGCTCGAAAAGGAATTCATTCGCCCTAGTTCGTCGCCCTTCGCCGCACCCATACTGTTCACACCGAAAAAGGACGGGGGGTTTCGCATGTGTATCGACTACAGGGCACTAAACAGGGTTACCATCAAATCCCGTTACCCCATCCCACGAGCCGACGAACTAATCGACCAACTACGCACAGCCCGGGTTTTCTCGAAAATCGACCTCCGAGGAGGCTACCACCAAATCCGCGTCAACCCACCCGACTGCCCTAAAACCGCATTCCGAACACGCTACGGATCCTTCGAATACACCGTCATGCCATTCGGACTGACCAACGCCCCCGCCACTTTCCAAATGACCATGAACGAAGCATTCCGCCCGCTTTTAGATAAGTGCGTCATCGTTTATCTGGACGACATACTGATTTACAGCCCTGACAGAGCACAGCACTTACAGGACATCGAAGCAGTTTTTAAAATCCTGAGTGAGAACCGCCTACTGACCAAAGCATCTAAGTGTGAGTTTTTACAGGACCGCCTGGAGTTTTTGGGACATGTTATTTCAGCTGCAGGAGTGGAAATAGACCCGAAGAAAATTGCGACGATTCAGGCTTGGCACGCGCCGACCAACTTGACCGAGTTGCAGAGTTTCCTGGGGTTCGTCAACTACGTGCGCCGGTTCGTCCCCGACATGGCGAAGCTGACTGCCCCGTTGACCGACCTGCTGAGGAAGGGGGTTGAGTACACGTGGGGGGAGAAAGAGCAAGCTGCCTTCTCGGCCCTCAAAAATATTTTGTGCTCCCCGCCCGTCCTTCACATTGCAGATCCCCACCGTCCGTTCGAGCTCGTCACCGACGCAAGTGACATCGCTGTGGGAGCAGTACTGTTGCAGGACTTCGGGAACGGCCTCCAGCCAATCGCGTACGAGTCCCGCAAACTGCACCCGCCCGAACGTAACTACCCGATACACGACCGCGAGATGCTAGCGATCGTGCACGCGTTCAAAGTTTGGCGATGTTACCTGACTGGCGCCGACGTGACAGTACTGACAGACCACTGCTCGCTACAGTACCTTCGCGCCCAACCGAATCTCAACCCACGACAGATTCGCTGGTTGGACTATCTCGAGTCCAATTTTCACTACACCGTTACGTACAAAAAAGGCGCATCCAACATCGCCGACGCTCTCACCCGCCCCACCGCCCAACTCCACGCCATCCTACTCGCCCAGACCAACCCGCTTTTAACTGGCCTATTCACCCACGGATACCGCACCGACCCATTTTTCACGACCGGAAATTCACAGCAACTGGCAGAAGCAAAAGGAGTCTATTACGTAAAAACAGGCACCAACCGCATTTGGGTACCCGCGTACTCACTACTGAGGGAGCTGCTACTACAGGAGGCACACGACGGGATTACCTCGGGACATTTCGGGGTAGAAAAACGCGACAGCAACTGCAGCGGTATTATTACTGGCCGGAGCTGTTGACCGACGTACAGCAGCACGTGGGCTCGTGCCCGACGTGTCAGGTGATGAAGAGTTCAAGGAAGCGGAAGGCGGGTCAATTGCAGCCGATCCCACCGCCCGAACGCGCCTGGCAGCAAGTAACCATGGACTTCGTCACAGGGTTACCTTCGAACCCTGGGGGTAACGACGCGGTGATGGTCGTCGTGGATAGGTTGACGAAGATGGCACACTTCGCTGCGTGCAAAAAGTCGATCTCAGCCGAGGAGACCGCTCGCCTGTTCATCACAGCCGTTGTTCGCCTGCACGGGATACCAGCAGCAATTATCAGCGACAGGGACACGAAGTTTACCAGCAACTTCTGGAAGAACCTCTGGGAGCAGTTCGGGACCAGGCTACAGTTCAGTTCGTCGTACCACCCCGAGACCGACGGCCAAACGGAGCGGACGAATCAGACGATGGAGCAATTGATTCGTGCCACGTGCGACGACCCCACGACCTGGGAGCAGCAGCTGCCGCTGATCGAGTTCGCGTACAACAACGCCACATCAGCCACGACGCAGCAGTCCCCGTTCTACCTGAACTATGGGCAAAACCCCACAGTGCCCATGACGCCGAGTCCGGACAACCCAACGCCACGTGCACAACAATTCGCCGAAATCCTGCAAGCTGCCCGCGCCAGAGCCGCCGAAGCAATAAAAAAGGCCAACGTCATCGCTAAGCGCAACGCTGATCGCCACCGCCGCCCTGTCACGTACCAATCTGGAGATTACGTGCTGCTTGACACGCAAAATCTGCGACTGCCCGACGTACCAAAATTACGACCGCGCTACTGTGGACCATTCCAAATCAGTCACATGATCACACCCGTCACCGCACACCTACTGTTGCCAACCGACTGGTACATCAGCCCTTCGTTCCACGTCAGCCTACTTCGCCCATACATCCCGACCACAAGTCAACTGCCACGTCACTGTCCACAATCAATGACTCGCCCTGCATCGGAGCCGATCATCGAGCCCGAAAAAATCCTAAGCCATCGGATCCGCCACCCCACGGGAATCAGGAGGATTGAATTCCTCGTTCGCTGGAAAGACCGCACGCCAACTGAAGATAGCTGGGTGCCCCTGAGCAACATCGAAAATCACCCTGCCCTGCAAGTGTACCTGAGGAGCCGGGGATTCCGCGATATACACGCACTTGCGTAGCGGAGGGGGCTTCTTAAAGGGGGGGGGTAGTGTAAGGAATTTTCTCGGCATTCCTTACGGGGCCGACTACATCGCGTACAGCAACAGCCGATTGTTCGCCCGTTACTGCTAACGGAACTTCGCCGACTTCGCGCGCACTGTTTTGCCAAACCTCGCACCGCTGGCATGGCCGTATCGGCCTACGCTTCGGGACTAGCCCGAGCCTCGCTCCAGCGTAGCACTAGCAAGCTCGCACGCACCGCGTTACCGTTTTGCATGTTTCGCGTATAAATGTTCGCTCATGCCTTCGCTCACATTTTGTACTCGTTTTGACACCTTAGTGCAATTCTCGCTACCTCGATTCATTGCACCCGTAACAATTTATAAGAATTATAAGACACCCTAAACTGTCCCAATTACAAGACACAGCAAGCTTTTTTTCTAATGTATAAGATAAGACATATATGTCTTCTATCCGGGCGATGACGGTATCAGATTTTCATTTGCATTTTGGACATCCATCTCTTCAGTCTGGCCCTGAACCTATCACGCCTTGAGCCTCTTACCAGTACTTCCCAGTCTGTTGCCCCATGCCACATCAACCCCTCCCTTCCCTCCACCCCTTCTCCCTTGATCCTTTCTGCCTCAGCACCTTCGGCTCTGTTTGCTCGCCTCTCCCTCCCTTCTTCCTTCCCTGCTTCCCCAACTTTTCCATGAGTCTGCTCCTCCTGCTCTTCCCTCCGTTCTCCCTTCCAAAACTGTCTCAGCACATCACGTGAAGGGCACCTGCTGCAGGTGTCTTGTTGGCTTGACAAACGCGCACTGTTTTCGCTGTTGATTCTACTGAAGTTGCTGCTGCTGCTGTTCCTGCTGCTCCCGCTCTTCCTCCTGCTGCTGGTGCTGCTCCTGCTGCCCCAGCTATTCATGTCCCTGTTGCTGCTACTGCAAGCACCGAAACCCATGTTCCCACTATGAATGCTGCTGGCGAAATTGAAACTGCTGCTGCACTTGACATTGCCGCCCATAGCATTCCTGCTCTGCATACCGGACCCCCGCCTTACGCCACTACCTTTGCTGCCATCGCCAGCACCAACACCACCACCACCACCACCACCACCGCCGCCACTGCCACAACCGCAGCCACTGCGAGTGCTGTTGCTGCCGTTGCTGGTGACACTGCCGTCTTCCGGACCCATGGCCCCATCCGAAGCACAGGGGGCGGACCAGGGAACAAGCCCACTGAAGCCGCTCACGGGTGTAGAATCCGGAGAAAGGTATGGCTGGAAGGGAAAATCAGCAGCGCCGCAAAAGGATTGCACACGGGCTCGTTCTCGAGGGTGCAGGTCAGGAGGAGGAGCAGCAGCAGCATTGACAGAGGCAGCAGGAGCGGCAGCAGCAGCGGCAGCGGCAGCGGCAGCGGCAGCGGCAGTGGTAGTGGGAGTGAGTTTGCTTTCTGGCTGAAAGGGTCTAAATGCAGCTGCAGCGTCAAGAAGCCCAGGGCTGCTTCGGCGAGCAGCAGGCTCGGGCGTAGGCGCGCGTGTAGCTTCGGAAGCAGGTTCGGGTATTGCTGCTTCCTCAAACGCAGGTGTGGCATGTCCAGGAGAGGTCATGTCAGGGAAGGTGAGCGCAGTCTGAGGGGCTTCAAACGAGTACAGGCGCTTTGGTATAAGCTTCAGGGGCCGTACAGAAACCTGGCACAGCCAATCCACAGATTCGTCTGCTGAATTCGCTGCGGGCGTCTCCTCGTCTCTCCCCTGCCCCTGTGGCAGCGGCAAAGGTGGTGAGCTGTTGCAGCGGCGATGCAGTGGGGACACAAAGGAGCTGCTGCAACCCCCCTTGTGGCTCGTCAATGAATGCTCATTACTCGCTGTCCCGGCAGCGGATTGGCGCGGAGGGCGGAAGGAGTAGGGGTCCGCGGGGACGTCATGGACAGCGCAGGCGCTGGGGCGCGGAGGGGAAGCGCTGTGGCGGGGAGGGGAAGCGCTGTGGCGGGGAGGGGAAGCGCTGTGGCGGGGAGGGGAAGCGCTGTGGTGCGGAGGGGAAGCGCTGTGGCGCGGAGGAGAAGCGCTGAGGCGCGGAGGAGAAGCGCTGTGGCGGGGAGGGGAAGCGCTGTGGCGCGGAGGAGAAGCGCTGTGGCGCTGAGGAGAAGCGCTGAGGCGCAGAGGGGAAGCGCCGTGGCGCGGAGGAGAAGCGCTGAGGCGCGGAGGAGAAGCGCTGTGGCGGGGAGGGGAAGCGCTGTGGCGCGGAGGAGAAGCGCTGTGGCGCGGAGGAGAAGCGCTGAGGCGCGGAGGAGAAGCGCCGTGGCGCGGAGGAGAAGCGCTGTGGCGCGGAGGGGAGGAGAAGGGCCTGGCGGAGTTCTCAGAGTCACGGTGCGCGCACATGCTTCTGTCATGCGGAGCGCACACGCTGCTGTCATGGTGGCGGCGCGGAGGGGAGAAGAAGGATGGGCTGCGTCTGCCGTTGCGGGACGAGAAGCCAGACGACTCGTCGTCTCGAAAATCGTCGCTGTAACATCCATCCCCGCCACATCCCTCCGCGGAGCCCATGAAGCCCCTGCGCCAGTCTTTTGAACCCGCCCCGATACCGCCAGTCCCGCTGCTGCACTGAGCTCCGTCGAAACCGCCGCCGCCGCTGGAGTCTTCGGATGCGGCGTAGAGCTGCCATTCGCGGCCGGAGAAAAGCGGACTGAAGGAGTCCCACGCCGGCAGCGCGGCAGCGCGTGACGAGACAACGGGCAAGTCAACGCCGCCGGGCGGGGCGGCGGAAGGGCTGTGAAAAAAATAGTCGTACGCAGCTCGCCGCGCTTTCATGCTTTCCGCCTGGCGCAAGTGGCGCGTCGCTCCGCCCCCGACGTTTCCCGTCGACGGGGACAGTTCCGCCGCAAACCTCGCTTCCTCAAGCCTGCTCAGGCGGTTTGAGCTGAAATTAGCCGCGTTGCCCTCCGTCGTAAACCCTAGACCGACATTTCCTCCTCCCGCCGCGGGAATCGTTGCATTAGTAAGTCTGGTTGGATCTGGGCTTAGTAAGCCTCCCGTCTCCGATGCGGCTTCGTTTCCTCTTGTGTGGTAACCCTCGCCGATGATTTCGCCCGAGGCTGCCAGCTTCGCCGCGTACGCCGTGTCGCTGGTGGCTCGCGACAGTAGCAAATCGCGGTCCGCGCGAATGGACTCGCGCGTGTGCGACGGGGAGAAGAAGGATCGCGAGCCGTCGCCAGCCGAGGCGCCCGGGAATAACGAGCTGGCAACGCTTGTTGCGCTCGTCGCGCTGCCATTATCGAGGCTTATTCGGCCTCGATACGACGGAAGGCGCCGGAACGTAATACTAACGGGGATATTACTGTTCAAAGCGTCGCCGCCGCCGGCGGCAGAGGAAAAAGAACCAGAAAGGGATGCCTCGGACGAAGCGTCGTCAAGACAACAATCTGGCAAAAATGGACTGCTTCTAACGCGTACAACAGCTCCGTTACATTCACTAGTAGTAGTAGTAGCAGTAGTAGTAGAAGCACAAAACTGAGGAGCATGAGGGGTGGCTGTGACGGTGGTGGCAGCAGGGGACATTCCGTCAGGGTTGAGCCGTGGTGGTGGACTCCAAAAAAATCACCAGAAACTTGCGCGCCGCCCGCTTGAGCTGCTAGCCCCCGTTCTCAGGTCGACGCCGAAGCGCATCTGTCGTCGCTGCGTGCGTCGCGCCCCGCATCTGTCGCCGCCGCGTGCGTCGCGCCGCCCCGCATCTGTCGCCACGCAGGTCGCAAAGCTCACTGGCGGCGACGCCACCTTACTTAGCGACGAACCTTGGCGTCAGCAGTGTACTGACATACGACTCCTAATGCCCGTCGCAGAATACCTTGCGCGCTTCGCCGCGGAAGCGAAGGTTTCGGAAAACGATAGGCAAGCCGCCGTGATACGGAGTCGGACGCTTGAATACTGACGCGTGTATTAGCAGACGGATATATTTTCAGAACCGAGAAGGCACAAGTACACAAACTGTTTGGAAGCGAGCTTTGTGCCTGGGCTCGGACTGGGTCCTTACTAAAAGTAGTACTCCCGTGGACGCCCAATTTTAATCCGCTATCTCTATAGCACCCCGACTGTGCTTTACAAGTGAGGGACGAACTACTCGTGGGACTACTACAGAGAGAGCCTATGGTGCCCCACAAATCAGGGCGGAGGTCGTATGGAGGCCTCAAGAACAAATGTCTCGAAGCGTAATCGGCAATTCTGTGGTGAGAAGACGACTTACCGAAGCATTCAAGGGAAGAATGCTCGTTGACTTAGTGCGGATTACGCGGATAAGAGCATGCTGTTCTGAGATTTCCCCCGAGACACCTCCGAACACGAAGGAAGTGGTGTGAATGAAGTGCACTAGTGACTAGCAGCGCGGCGGATCTGCCACAACGAGAAAAATAGGGGTGCGAAATAGTTACACCGCACCGCACGTTCTCGTTGCTAGCTCTTACATCAAAGACATGTACCCATGGGCGGCTGTCGCGCTGGCAGCGGCAGATGCGGGCAGCACGCGCTGGAGTGATGCGAAATGTAATTTTCTGGGACCACACCTTGGTTTAGATTCTGGAATGAGGTGCCAACAGGCTTCATCCGACGACGAACGAGATTGGCTGTCCCCAGCATTCTAAGGACCATGCCAGCGCGCGGGCCAATGCCTCACAGCCACAAACGCGCTCTGCCCGTTAAAGCCGAGGTGCAACTATCAAGTTCAACTTCAAAGTACAGTCGGTGCCCATTTCAAGAACACCAGGTAGGCGGGCGGCCTGTGCGTGAAACGTGTTTGAGTCGTTTCGCCACTTTCGCCCTTGTCGCCACGGGCAAAAATGTGACATTAATATGAAATTGCAAAGTGAATCTATTCAAGGGTTTTGATTTCGTAACCAGGTTAACTTCTCTGACGACGGGCAACCGTTGTTGTTTATACACTGTAGATGTTTTTCTTCCTCAACTTGGTGACTGTACCCCGAAATCGGCACAATGGTCAATTTAGTCACTCACGGCAAGAACGTTCGCGAGTGACTAATTTACTAATTGTGGAGAGCAAAAGTTTTGTGATAGGCTGAGCATCGACTGTATTTTCGCTTGGAAGAGGTTGACCCAGGCAGTTCACAGGAGAGAGGTTTGTCTTGTTGCGAAACTCTGATTTTTTCGACGAATAGAAGTCAAATTACGCACAAGCAGCTTTTGTCCTGATACTGTTCTTAAGAAGTTGCAGAGCAGTTTTAATTATTCCATGCGACACCGAGAGATCGTCTACGGCGAACGAGCCGCACCCTAGCAGTCTCTACACCTGCTCGATCAGATCCCGATGGCATTCGAATGCTGCGCCACCGCCATTCCCCGCTTCCCTATGCCCCCACACACGCAAGGCTCACCAAACAAACAAACACAGCCCACCGCCATGAGTGCACGGACACCACCCTTCCCTGCCTCACCTCAACCCTGCTCCACTCCACACCCACCGCCCAACCACCCCACCCCAGTAACAAGGCCCTGTTTGGCAGGCATCATGGCCATTATGGCCACAATGGGCATTTCTAACGGGCTCCCAAAAAATGCCGCCTGGGCATTTCGAGAAACAGCATCGAAATCGGATTGTAGCTGCAGTGCACATTCGGAAAAACGGGGTGGAGTGTTTGGTTGGGTGTAGATTGATGGCATCTATCTAGATCTCGGGTTTTGCGGAAGATGGTAAGCAGTTGCCATGATGGTTCGCGTGATCATGTGATTGGCTGGCATATTTTGACAAAGTTTGAAGAAAGAAAGAGGATTAAACTAGCAGAAATGGGGATACAAATAGCAAACCCTAGAAGGGTTGTACTCGCTATAGAGCACCCCACTACAGGCTAGAACATAAGATAACATTCTGACACACCCCCATAGCCAAAGTGGGGTGTAATCAGCAGAGCAGGCAAAGCAGTACAAGCTCAGGGTGGATCACAATGTCACCACACATTCTGAGCACAAGTTCAAGAAGCAATAGTTTAGAGTTCACAATTATGAGCAAAGCTAGTTGTAGTCACAACGGGTAAGCTAGGAGGAGGAGAGAGAGTGAGGGGAGAGGAGATAGGAGGCGACGGCTGAAGCTGCAGACACACGGGCAACAGGAGGCAGACTGGCACAGCGGCTACCGGGCGAAGCCCCCGGAATGCAGGAGTAACAGGTCCCGCGGCTCAAGTAGCGGCAGACGAGCAACGGACCCACGGGCGGCTGGCACAGCTGGCTACGACTGGGCTACCGGACGAAGTCCCCGGACTACAGGTGCTGCTGGCGACACGACGGCAACCTCCGTGCAACTTCCCCATACAGTCCCACCCCTCTGACACACACCCGCTGCTACACCGCTAGCTCCACTCCCACGCACCCCCCTTAAACCCTAAACCCAGTCTCCCACACATCCACCCCCCTCAGCGACAGCTGCAGCAGTGGGAGACGAAGGAGGAGGAGGAGCAAAGGGAGGAATGCACACCGGTCACCCCCATACCCGCCACCCCACAGCGGCCCCCGAAGGAGCCGCGACGGGCGACGGGAAAAGGGGGGGGGGGGGGGGGGGGGGGGGGGAGGCGGTGTGGAGGAAGGGGCCCACCACGGGCCTGGTAGGGTCGCAGGTAGGGAGACGGGGCCGGGGCCGCAGGTAGGGCGGCGGGACGACGGGGCCGCGGCCAGGTAGGGAGGCGGGACGGCGGGGCGACGGGCCGCAGGTAGGGAGGCGGCCCGAGCCGCGCGCGGGCCTGGCGCCGCACAAACAGGCCGCGCGCGGGCCTGGCGCAGCCCGTACGGGCCGCGCGCTGCCTGTACGGGCCGCGCGTAGGCCACGACGGGCGACGGGAGGTGACGACCGGGTCCCCGTCGCCCGTCGCGGCGCCTCCCGAGGGCGACGCGCCGGTCGACGGGGCCGAAGCCCGCCGCGCGCCTCGGGGCGCACAGCGGGCAGAGAACCGCCGCGCGCCTCGGGGCGCACGGCGGGCAGAAAACCGCCGCGCGCCTCGGGGCGCACGGCGGGAAGAAAAAATGCCGCACGCCACGGGGCGTGCGGCTCAGAGAGTAGTTGATAGTAGTAGGAGTAGGAGTTGCAGCGGAAGCAACGAGGTGGTAAGTCCACCCACAGGATCGATCCAAGGGGATCGACCTGCTCTGATACCATGACAAAGTTTGAAGAAAGAAAGAGGATTGAACTAGCAGAAATGGGGATACAAATAGCAAACCCTAGAAGGGTTGTACTCGCTATAGAGCACCCCACTACAGGCTAGAACATAAGATAACATTCTGACATATTTGACCAGTCACTTTTGATCGCCCCGAATCACTGATACCCCGCATAGTGCGTGGCCTCGAGGCCGCATGGTGCGGGGGATCAGAAAATGGGCACTTTGCCAGAGAAACTCGTTTGGGTGTAGATTCAGGCGGTTGAAAACGCCTGCAAAAAAGGGGTGTTTGGTTGGCATTCCATTACTGTCAGGTTCGGCGTAGTCCGCTTTTATCGAGCCTTGATCACCTTTAACGCGCTTATCAAGGAAGGTTCCAGGGTGGTCGGTTCACTGTAGCCCTTCCCCCTCGCCCGTTTTTTTAATGTCTGCCAAACTGGGCCCAAGGCAAGCACACCACAGTGACACCAAGTCACCCCAGCAGATTGTATGGTCGAGACACTTGTGTGGGCGGTACCATTGCTATTTTCTGGAAAAAAAAGGGTCTACGGATAACGCTTCTCTTCCTTTTTTAAAGGCGGGTCATGAATTCCCTCAGCCTCGAAACCGAGCTTAGTGCCTTCACAGAATGCAAAAAAAAACGCGTGGACCTCTTTGTCA